GGCGAGGGCGCACCGGCGGGCAGTCGCCCGGGGGTCGCCTCCCGAGAGGGGGGAGCGTGATTTTCGGGAGTCATTTTCGGTGACTATATCTTTTATCCCGAAAAAAAGTACATCGTGAAATTTGTTTTGCAAAACAAATATACACAAGAGTTTGTGCGACAAAAGTTGAACAAACGATCTATAAATCATCCTTTTTCTTTTAGTATAAAAAAAATGCAGTCGACATTGCGGGAGGCTTCGCTGCGATTTGTGACATCTGTCCTCCGACTCAACGTTCGGTACTCGGCACCGTTTTCCTTCTCCTTTTCCCTCCTCCTGTGCTGCCAAAACCTCCCAAATCGCGCTCCTCACCCCCAATCGAAACCCAACCAACGCACCGTCTTTGGCCCCAAATCCGACGCCGCCGCCTCGCGCCCCACCGAACCTCCTTAGCGCCACCGCCAATCACCCTCTCCGGCTCCACAATGGAGGACGGCGACATCACGGCCAGGGCCAAGCGCATCGTCGAGCTCAAGAGAGATGGGCGCATCGCGGCGGCGCTGGAGAAGGCCGAAGCCCTCGCCGCGGAGCACCCTAGGTCCCTCACCGCCGCCTGCCTCCTGGGGGACCTCCACTATTCCGTCGCCATCGGCGCCCGCGCGGCTGCCGCGGGCTCGGAGAAGGAGCCGGCCGACGCGGAGTCGCACCTCCGTCAAGGTCGCGACGCGCTCTTGACGGCGAAGTCGCTCGCCCCCGACAACGCCGACATCGCAGTCGCGTTAGCTGACCTCCTCGCCGAGTCGTCGATGTACCTCGAGGCAGAGGCCGAGCTGCGTCGCGCTATGGACATGGACGCCACAGCAGCGCCCGAGTCCTCCCGGAGCCCCGTCTCCTCCACTCGGCGCGAGAGGAGGCAATCCTATCAAAGGGTGATCAATCGGCTAGTTGCGCATGAGGCAGGGAGGCTCATGGACGTCGCCAAGAGCGACGACGTTGCTGCAAAGCGCAAGCTGCAGGCGCTGCAGGCGCTGAAGGAAGCAAGGGATCTCGCCATGCGCTTCCCGGGCTCGGCGCGTGCGCGGTTATTGGGCCCCTTCCTAGAGCTCGAGTATATGCTTGCCGTTTCCCGGGAGCATAAGGATCCTTCCTGGAGCAATGGCGTGGAACGCCTTGTCTGCGATGCAGTAGGAGCAGCCAAGGAATTCCCCAATTCTACCGCTGCTGCTTTGTTTCAGGCGCGACTTCTGTTCGTTTGTGGCAATCACATTGATGCAGAGGGCGAGTGCCACCGAGCCCTTGCACTGCAGCACCCTACAGATCCTGTGGAAGATTGCATTCCGACTGGATCCATCAGAGGAGAGGATCCTCAAAGCAGGTTGAGTTCGGTAACTAGGCTGTTCCGTGATTTACTTGACAAGATCCTGCAGTCTGCTGAATCATACTGGGAAAACTGTTTGACATCTGAGAAGAGGCAGAGTTTCTTGTCCGTGAGAATCGATGCGCTAGAGAACAAGTGCAAGATGGTTGAACACTCGTATGATTTCAGTGTATCAAGCGCCTGTAGGTTCTTCAAGGAGCATAAGTCTTGGAGGTCCTGGGTGTGTCCCCTCTGCAGTGGAAAGCATACAAGCACTAGATTGCTCCTAAAGCACATGGTGAAGAGACATTCGCGGTCAGTATTGCGGAGGCTACAGGACATTGTAGATCCGACAGTTGAGCCAGAGAGCGATTGTCTCCTGGAAGGTTTGTTGTTGTGCAAGGACTCGGAGAATCATGATACCATCTGCTTCAAAGAAAGGGATGAGATGTTCAGATTACTTTTCTTGGAACCGAACCGTGGAGAAGTAGCAAAGCCAGTGGACAAATTTCATCAAGACCAGCAGAGCCAAGGAACTCTACTCGTGGAGAACATCAAGAAGAACATGGTGAATTTGCCTACGCATAAATCCGCAACATATGAGGTTATGCGATGCTGCTAATTTCTGTTTTGTGTTTATAAGCATTATATGCGTCATACTTACCTTGTGCAGTACATATTACATGCTTGCTGGCTGCTGCATAGGAAGTTGATAGCTAATGATTTGCAGCCGTTTTTTCTAATAAAATTTTGCTTTGCACTGCAGTCAAGTAACCTGCAAGAAATCAGAGAGCTCTGGCTCCAGTTCCTCGAATGTGCTGTTCTGGACTATGGCAAATCCATCGTGACACTGGCGCGCTCATATCTTTGGGTTTGTTCTGCATAACGTCTATCCCTTTTGCATCTCACTTGGTTATTGGTTCAAGACTTGGATTCACTTATTTCTGTTTCTCCAGGATGAATTTAGAAAATGTATGGCTGGAGATAGAGAAGCCCTACGTCAAAAGATCTCTGCGGATGACATTGAGACCACCTTTTCCAGTCACAGTGCTGTTGATAAAGAGACAATGAAAGAGGAAGTGCTCTATCAAACAGGTACTTTCTCTGTGCCAATATTTATTAAGAAACTACAATTTCTTCCTGACATGGCACTACCAAGGGAAAAAAGGAGGTTCCATAATTGCAATACTTCAAGTGATCACAACCAGAAAATGATCTTGACAGATGTCAGGAATACATAATTTAGTCTGGATACTTGCCAAGCCGTCATGCATATTTTCAGCCTTCAACGAGGGTGAATCTTATTTCCTTTGACGTTTGTACTCTAGGGATCTTGGAGCTGCAAGCAGATGGGCGTATTGCAGTTCAAGAATCTTATAATTAACAAAACGCAATGCTCAGAATCAGTAATAGGATACAATATTCAGAGTCAGTAGTTGATGAAAAAAGCAAATCTAACTTAAAATTTCAGGTGCAGGTTCTGTTGGTTTCCTCCGGTTACCAAAATATCATAATACTGGCGAAAGGTTTATGCTCACTTATGTCTGAGAAGAGAAATGATTTCTGCATAAAAGCATTATACAACATATAATTTGGTAGCGAACAGGATTTCAGAAGCACTTGTTCCAGCCATATTTGAGTATCTTTTTCTTATATATTATTATTCTCTGTATTCAATTAATGTTCATACAAAGTCAAAGGTTAATTATGATCTCAAAGCAGGAGAAACACCAACTCTTACTGCTGACCAAGATACTCGCGACTCCCCAAGTTCAAACTCTCATGACATCAATTTGGTGGATATTATCCTCAGGGTAGGCAACTTATGATTTTGAAAAATGGATTTAATCATTCTGCTGCGGAACTTTTCTGAACTTCTCCAAATGCAGACATTATGGTGCATGGAGCCTCTCCTTGATGAAGTTATGAAGACAAAGCCTATCTGCTCCAAGCATGGCCACGGTGAACCATGTGTCGGTGTCATCGTTCACAAGATCTTACACTTGTGGGAGAAGGCAGAAGATCACCAGCAACAACTGCTCCCTCTAGCCAACACAGTGTGCAGAACCTTGGAGGATGACAATTGCTTTGACGAGGTACACATATTTAATATCCATGCTTATCATTTCTCCACTTATCATTCTCACTTCTGTGCGAAATATGATCATCCAGCATAGCATATTTGCATCGGAAGTACTGACCCATTGATATACAATCATGACTAATTAAGAGACGCATTCTGCAGCGGCAGGACAGAAGCAAGCGTGTATCTGACATCACAGTAGCCATTCTTAATGGACTACACTTGCCAGATGTTTGTTTACAACTTGGAATCATGTCTGATACCATGAGGCCAGAAACAGAAGCTTTTGTTTGCAAGTATCATTACCCTCCTGCTATGAAGCCCATGAGGCCAATGGGTTGTGGTTGCAAAACATGTTCACCTGGACAACTTAATGCAGATCCAAGCAAGGTTTGTTAAATTCTACAAATGTACTTATGGTTGCATACTTGCATTTGTATGTACGATCAATTTCCAGCAGCAGTGCATGTTGAGGGTAATTTATCTTTTTATGCAGGTCGAGCACATATGCAAACAGTGCAGTTCTGCTGCTCTGAAGGACCCATACTCAGCTGTTGGTAATATTTATCTGTAGGATTTGTTACTCATAAGAAAATAAAGTTACCTTGCTGAGTCTTACTGATTTGATTTTGCCATGTCAGTCATACATTGCTCAATGAAGATGGAGGTTCAGCAATCACTGGCGGAAATATGGGATGATACTCTTCAACCTCTGATGACATTTGAGTACAACCATGGCACAATATTTTACGGCTTAGCCGCAATGGTATGTTCATAATAATATCTGTAAAAACTAATTTGATTATGGCCCTGAACCGTTAATGATTATGTTTTGATCTTGACATTAAGGTATTACGAGGAAGGGGAATATTGTTTGATATGAATAGCCATGAAAAGCTGTGCATGGTTTTCTGTTTTGAGATGCACACACAGTATCTTAAAACCCAACTTGGATTCACCGATATATTGAAAAGGCCGTAGAGATGTGCTGTGTTTTTCCGTGGAATGTTGGAATCGCATGAAGTATGAATTGAGGATATTATTCCGAAGTCACATGAGAATATATTTTAAGGCCAAGGTTAAAGGAGAAGGACAAACTTGCAGATATCTTCCCATCTTATATGCACATGTGCTAATATATTCCTGCACATATGAGAATATATTTTAAGGCCAAGGTTAAAGGAGAAGGACAAACTTGCAGATATCTTCCCATCTTATATGCACATGTGCTAATATATTCCTGCACATATCCAAGTATAAGCCACCGGATATTATTTCTTTACAGATATGCTATGTGGACAATGAGCCCGTTGGCATTGCTCGATGTGAAAGTAGATGGGTTATGTATGATGCACGCAGAGAAATCAACAGGGTAGGTGTAACATGTAACCTCTTATTGTATGCTCTAACATTTCTGCATGCTGAATCTTATTTTTTGGTAACTTCCATGTAGTGTGAAGTGCCCTGGGAGGATTTGTTTGCTATGTGCAGGGACTGCACTCCAGCAATTCTATTTTACGAGGTCATCAAATAGATTGACTGAGGTATGTTTGCATTAACATTAGTGAACCGTGTGCTACATAATGTACTATAGTTCCTTCGTCCGGAATTACTTGTCGCTCAAACGGATGTATCCAGAATAGCACATGTTCCTTGAATTCAATGTGGTTTTGTGCCAAGTAGTGTAAGTCTTGATATATCACATCTCCTTTTCTAATTTTGCGACGGCATTCAAGTTTTGATCTGTAACATCATCTTTGCAGGTAGTCCAGGTTGCCCTAGACCTGTTCCTGGTTCGTGCGCTCTGTACTCCTTCACCTGAAGATTGAGATTTGTTGATTATAATGATTTCTGAGAATGCCCCTCTGCTCGTGCGATGCCTGACAAGGAGGGTAATATGATAAGCTGAGATGGAGTAAACCGTGACGCGGCCTGCGTGCTGATTGGTGGAAAACCCTCCGGGGCCACTTGTAATGTGTGAGCAAGAGACCGAGTCGAAGCCTCCTTAGTACAGTATTAAGATGGGTTCTCTGTCCTGTAGCGTTCAGGTTGCCTGTAAACATATAATGTACTCTGTCTCTCGTCTACCAATCTCTGTTTCTCATCCCCTTTGCTCTTGGTAAACGACCAGAACTGGCAGACCAATTGCCCACTCGGTCGGTTAATCATGGGTCGGTTAATCATGATGCGCCACACGTCGACGCGGGTCCCACCGACCGCTCGTCGGCCACTCATTTCCCTGCAGGCATACTTCCTTCCATAAGGCCAACACTAACATGTGCGTTCTGTTTGGATTGGCCACGCGGACACCAAAGTCCGGTTTCGTCCGCCCAACATGGACGGACCCTATTTGACATTTGCGCCGGTTTTCAGTTTTTTTTTTTTAAAAATAAACAGCTAGCAAAAGTCTAGTCTTACATTAATTAAAATCCACGGAACGCCTGCTCGATGGCCTCCTTGAGGGCTGCAGTGTTGGCCTCCTGATCCTCCTTCACCACTGATGGTGGTGGTGGAGCGGTGAGTGCGCACGGTGCACGGGGCGCACCCTCGAAGAAGACGACCGGAAGTGGACTGGGCGGCCCCCTTCATCGCACGTGTGGGAGGAGTTTGGGTGGCTGACAGGCCCCCCTACGCGTGGACTTAAATACGACAGATGCGTGATGGTTAGGTGGCCGACGCGCGGGTCCGAGGCGAACACCGAGCAGACGCGCGTTGCGTCCGTCTCGTGTCTATGTGGCGCAAATCAGACGCAAATTTGGTCTGGATTTGCATCCACATGGACACGAGGCTGTAGAATATGGGTATGCGTCCGCGTGTTGGGCCGTGGCTTTTGCCCTCGTGGATCCAAACGGACACAGCTGGACAAAATTGGCCGGCTAGTTGAAGTTGCCCTACCGTCTATCTCCGCCCCTCCTTTTGCCATGGACGTGATGTAGGGTATAGACCCTAGGTTGCCCAATCTTTCACACTTGGAGGGGATTCAAGAGGAACACGGAAGAACAAAGGAATAACTCAAGACAAGATCCAAATCACACATCCACTAAGTTGGCAAACATATGAGATCCACAAGAGTACAGGGTCATCAATAGGAAAAGAGTACCAAGGGTAGTTTCTCCCAAATCCTATGGAGATGGGGTCTTGGTGATCTCAAGAGAACCTTTTCCCTTAGGAGGCATTGGTGACCCTATGATGTGGATCCTTCTCCCTTAGGAGGGCTTGATAATCTTGAGAGATTCTTCTCCCTTAGGGGGGCTTGATCCTCTAGGAGGTAACTGGAGCAAAGCTCTCTCAATTTAGTTCAATATACTTTGTGAACCCTAGAAATGAGGTAGGGGATGACTATTTATAGTCTAGGATGAGATAGGGGCGAGTGAGGGGATATATGGCCACTTGGCCAAAATGCACGCAAGCATGACCTTATGATACAGGTAGCTACCCAGACTGTCCATGCAATGGCTGGATACACTGGTACGTGTCGGTGCTATACAAACGGTTTAAAATCCCTTTCCGCGACGACATTTGGAACCGTTGCCTAGTGAGTGTGGGCGATTAGGGGGTCCTTCCCACACGACCTAGAAACCGTCGGGGATATGCCTTCCTGGCACACACGCTCGACAAAATGAGGTCGTGTGCGACCGGCGAGCGACCAAATATGGTTATACGTACAGTAGTGCTAAAAAAAATACAATTATACAGGCGAAATCATTTTCGGTCGTAAGTACATCCCACACAGTCAGTCCCCGTGAAACGTTTCCGTTCGTATATACATCCCACACAGTCGTTGCAAGGAAAACATTTCCGTTCATAGGTGCATCACACACAATTTTCCCCGTTAAATCGTTTGTGATGGCGTTCCCATCGCACACAATATTAAAAAAATTATCGTTTGCGTTATTGAATGCATCACACACGGTGCGTAGAAGAAACTGTGTGGCAAAGGCTATCCATCACACACAGTTTTTATGCGGTAAACGTTTGCGCAAGGTGGCCTAACGCAAACAGTTTTAAAGAGAATGTCGTGTGTGATTGTTCATCGATCCAACATGGTTTATTCCTAGAAACTGTGTGCGTTGCCTTAGGTCATCGCCCACGGTATTTTCTCAATAACCGTTTGCAATAGCAAAAACCAATTAGCAGGATAATTCACCATTAGCAGGCTAATTGCCCTATTATTAATAATCCATTTATTAATCTTATTGACATTCATATTAAACACATAATATATTTCATTCCCATATTAAGGAAGCAGGATTTCATAATCAAAATACATCAAAGTACAACATGATAGCTTCAGCACTCAGCTACCCCATTACACAACTGCACCAGCACCAAGTTTCACATGACCTTTCGAAATTAGCATCATAGACGGTACATAGGCAGATGCATCTCATCGGGAAAACTGCTAAAGCGGAAGGCGAACATTGAGCCTTCATTGATGTTGAAGGTCTTTGCAACTTTAGGCCAGTGCCTGTGGATGATTGACCGTCCATCCTTCGTCCTCTTCAGGAACACTTCAATATTGAACCGTGGGTGTTGTATGAAAACCTTCCTCGCCTCCTGACCATAGATGTGGTTTGAGAGGTAATCATCAGTGAGCTGCTTTGGAAAGGCCCGAAAACAAGGATGTGCATAAATATCTTCTCTATATTAGAAATGGGGCAAAGGAATAAAAAAAGGCAAGGTATAATAGTTAGTACCATCTTGTAGTGAACTGATGTCTTCTTCATTGTGCAGACAAAGATCTTGTTGTTTTTTGTCACCAATTTCTTTATCCTAACAATCTTTCTGAGTTTCTTGACTTGATTGATATTCATGGACAACTCATTTCCCCATATGCAAAAAGGGTTGAACAGTGGGCCAAAACATCTGACAACAGGACCTACATGTGCAAGACCAAATTGTTAAAAACCTAAGTATTAGAATGGTTCCTGCAATTGCACAATAATGTGCTATTAGACAACGGACCATACACGTGCTAACCTCGATTGTAAACATCGGTGCTTCCCATCATATTGTTTCCCTACAACACATATAAGGTAGTTAGTCACCAGGTTAAGTAAGGCTAGTTCGCATGCTATCAGTAAAATATGTTGATGAAAAATAAGCACATTGTAGATTCATCAGATTAATTCAAGCCACATGGAAAACCCATTTATGCAAACCAAGCAAGATTAAGAATTAGGAAATATAGCACTTGTGTATGTTTCTCATGTATTAAGTGCAGTCAAATTCGATTTATTCCTCACATGCACAACAATACAAAATTCCAACGACGACAATTGGACATCGCATTGCAGAATTGAACCAAGCAGTTAACTAAACACCACAACAAATGAACCAAACCTTAACTGAGCACCACATTCCACAATATAACATACTCCTAATGGAAGATCAGACAGTTAACCGAACCAAGGATGCTTAACAACTTGGAAATATTGTATTTGTTTATCATGTATTTAGTACAACCAAATTCGATTTACTTCTCACATGGTATACAATAACAGAATGCACCCACAAATATTGAACATCACATTGCAGAATTGAACCAAACAGTGAACTAAACACCACAACACAAATGAACCAACCGTTAACTGAGCAACACATTGCACAGTGTATAACCAAACCAAGCATGCTTGACAACTTGGAAATATAGCAATTGTATTTGTCTCTCATGTATTTAGTACAGCCAAATTCGATTTACTTCTCACATGGTATACAATAACAGAGTGCACCCACAACTATTGAACATCGCATTGCAGAATTGAACCAAATAGTTAACTAAACACCACAACACAAATGAACCAAACGTTAACTGAGCACCACATTGCACAATGTATAACCAAACCAAGCATGCTTGACAACTTGGAAATATAGCAATTGTATTCGTTTCTCATGTATTTTGTAAAGATAAATTTGATTTATTTCTCACATGGAAGACAATACAAAATTGCAGCTGAAGAATTGAACATCACATTTGCAGA